GCCTCGACAGGCAGCATCTAGCGACTGGTGAGAGCAAGCATCAATGGAAGCCGCCGGTGCCGGCGGCCGGCGCGGCACGGTGAAGCAGCTCAACGTGGGCGGCAAGCTCTTCGCCTTGGAGGCAAGCTCCCTCCCGATCTCCCTCTCTCTCTCGCCTTCCCCAAACCCAATCTTCGTGGACCGCGACCCCGCCCTTCTCTCCGCGATCCTCTCCGCCATCCGCGCCCCCTCCGCCGCGCCCGCCTTCCCCGCCGGCGTCCTCCTCGACGAGGCCCACTCCTACGGCCTCCAAGACCAGCTCCTCGCCGCCCTCTCCCCTCCGCCCCTCCTCGGCTTCTCCGCCTCCCGCGCCTCCACGCTCTCCCCGCCCTCCGAGCCCTTCCCCACCGCGCTCGCCCCGCGCCACGATGGCTCGCTCTGCCTCGCCCATGGCGCCGGCCTGCTCACCCACTACTCCCCTGCGCTGGAGCACCTCACCACCTTCCGGACCCATCTCCACCGCATCACCTCCCTCCGGCAGCTGCCTCCTGGCCTCGCTGTTGCCGGGTCCAGCCTCTCCCCGGGGCTCCATGTGTACGACCTCCTCAAAGGTCGGCACGTCGCCTCTGTCCAATGGTCAGATCCCACCGACCTTCGCGTTCAAAAGGCCAAGGTGATTGCCATTGCCGCCCGTCCTGCTGCCGATGCAGCTGATAAGAATTCACCCATCTTAGCTACATTCGAGTGCCCACACCGGGAGAATTGCATCCTGGTGTTTGACCCTGTAACTCTAAAGCCCATTCAAGAGATTGGCCGGCAAACTGGCAGCGCAGCTAAGTCGTCGGCGCCAGGCCGAGTAGTGCACCTGCAGGAGCTTGGGCTGGTATTTGCGGCATCTGTGAGCTCGGGGGCATTTGGTTACTCTGGGTACATGAGGCTGTGGGACATTCGTTCTGGGGATGTGGTGTGGGAAACAAGCGAGCCAGGGGGAGTTGGAAGAAGCAGCCGGTTTGGAGATCCATTTGCAGATGTGGATGTTGACGTTAAGCAACAGATACTATACAAGGTGTGCTCAAAGTCAGGAGATATTGGAGCCGCTGACTTGAGATGCCTTGGTAAAGACCCTTGGGTTTATATGTCGTCAGGACCTAGAGGGAGTGGAGGGGGCCATGGCAGTGTTCTGCATTGCTACAAGTCTCAGGTGTTTGTCAGCCGGAAGGATGGATTGGAGGTTTGGTCTCGACTGGAAGAACAGAGCAATGGCACAGCCAACTTGGCGGAGCAAACGAGAGCAAAGGAAAACATCAACAACGAAGGAATAAACGAGAACTGTTTTAGGAGTTGCTATGTGGATACAGAAGAGGATGCTGACCGTGGTATGATACACATCATGGAAGGGGGTGGAGACCGCTTATTTGTTACCAGAGAAGAAATGCAAGGCGTGGAGGTGTGGGAGACCTCCCAGCTGGCTGGTGCTATCTCTCTATCTCTTAGCAGTTTGCTTGTCTGAACATGATTGACCTGTGGCAATTCAGGTGGTTCTATTAAACGTGAGTGTGCATTTTCTACCATAGCATCGCATTATTCAGTACTGAAAATTCCTCTCAAGTCATGATGCGGTAATGTTATAATTCTTGCTTCTGCATCTGTATTTTGTGGTGATCAAATCCCTTGGATGTTGGTAAGCTTATTTCATATCCCTTTTCCTAATCCCTTAGCTTGAGGAGCTCAGCTTAATACAAGATAGTTTCAAGCAAACCTTAGCATCCTCAATGCTATGAGGCATTGTTATGCAGCTTACTCTTAATTATCCTGACGGAAAGAGCATGACATAGAACTAACTTATCATTCTTAATTTCTTCTTACCTTCCTAAAAATGCATTGATAATTTGATATAGCTGATCATATCTTTCTGGAAGCTAATAGTAGAACATAGTACCAGCTAATGGATAGGTTCTTTTGGAAGTGTAAATTCCTCCGCTGACTTGCCCTTGAATTTTGCGTACCAATCTTTTGTTGGGTCAAATATGCTTGAGCATTTTCGTACTCTATTTTTATGCTGGCTTGCCAAAATTCAATGTACCAAAAATCTATGATGCTGGCCGAGATGCTTATATTCTAAACAATATGTGTTGATATAAATGAATTATTATTGACGGTCCTTTTTGTTGTAGAATTTTCACAACATTAGGATTGGTATTCTGATTCTTATGGAGGATCTTAGAACATTAGAATAGAGCTATCAAATTTCTTATGGAGTACATTCCTGTGTCCCCAGTTCTACAAGAAAAACAAATATGAGCCTCATTTTATATTTTCTTTTAGAGGTCTAGTGTATCCTCTCTTTCTCCACTTTCTCTCCAATCAAGTGACATCTAGCATCGCAATTCTTTTCTATGAAGGATCATCTCTTTTAAACAGTTCTCGTGGTTTTGCTCCATGTCTGATTCAGCAGGTCATGGCATTTGAACTTTTTTTTTGGGTGAAGAAACCTGAACTATGATTTTATGATAAACCTTGCCTGAATTTGAAGCTTCATTTGACGTAACAGTATGTTACAAGTTGCAACATCATTGGTATGTTTTAAGGAGCAAAAGTGCTGTTTTTTTTGTGTTCAGATTATGTACAGTTTAGTTGGTAAAGTGGATGTGTCATATGTCAAGAGAACTTATCTCAGATAACCCTTAGAGTAGCACAAGGAAAGAATCGGATGAGCATGCTCACTTTATCAATATCAATTATTGCGTTATGTCCTCTCAAAAAAAGTTATTGCGATCTCCACAAAAAAAGAAGTGTTATGTGAAGAATGATGGTGTATTTTTTTTTTCAAAACGTCGTATTGTCTTCTTTGGACTTTGGAGGCTTGTTGTCTGGAAGAGAGATTTTTTGTGCATGATATCAAATAGGTGTTTTTTTATTAGCATCAGCATACGGCAATGGGAGGCATAGATTAATCTTGATTGGTCATGTTCGAATGTTATGTGATGCACCAGTACTCTCTTTGTAGGCTAGTAGCCACAGTAAAAAAAAACATATTGTAATGCATTAGAGCATGATGAACATGTTATTGCTTCTATGCTGCACTTATTTGATGTTAATTTACAGCTCGTTATTTGTCCACACAGCTTCACGCTATATTTGTTGGAATCTACTCCCCCGTTTCAAAATATAAGTGATTTTGACCGGATGTGACACATCCAACCAAAATCCTTCATCATATTTTGGGACAAAGGGAGTATGAGGTTTGATGGCTAAGGGCTGTACGCGATGTGTAGTCTGCCGAATGGGTTTGATGGGTAGGTGTGACATTTAGTTTCATGGGCCACTAGATATTGCGTTGTATCATAAATTAGCAGTTGGTATGTTTACTGTTCTGGGCTTGTTATTTGTACTTCAATTCATTCCGTACTGTACTTCCAGCTTTATTATCTTTGTATTATGCCTGTAGACTTTGAGTAGGAAGTTAAGAGTTCATCTTAAGTTCCCATGACTAGCATGATTCATAAATAAAGTTCATATGCTCTAGTCCCATGACCACCTTTTTGCGTTTCATGATGGAGTCCTGGAACACATAATCTGGTGTCTCCTTGCACTGTTTCTATGCATGGGCTCAAGTATTCCTTTTGGCTCAGAACATGGCGAGTTGTACCATAAAGCATGAGCTAATATTTCGTTTAGGAAAAGAAACGCAGACAACGGTACAATAGTCACCTCCATGACATCGTAATGACAGCGAATCTCAAGAGCGCTGCTGTGTCTTTGTGCGCCGGACAGCCAGCATCATTCGTTCCTTGTGCAAGGCGCAGATTTGGGGCGCGGCACTATGGGCTGTGGCTGTGTTTAGTTCAGCGCAAAATTTGGATTTTGGTTGAAATTGGAGATGATGTGACTGAAAAGTTGTGTGTGTATGACAGGTTGATGTGATGTAAAGTTTGGATCCAAACTTTAGAAAAGGACTGAGCTTTGCAGCTTCTCGGATTCCAGAGAACTGATGAGTACGTTGTGCCTGGATAGATGATTATCCGGTGCTGGATTGTGGCTTCCGATCTGTTTTACTACGCTGTGTTGAGACTTGAGGCACATCGGATGTTCAGAACCTCCATTATGGCAGATGAGCGTGAATTGTTGACAAGGTAAGATAAGGAGTAGGATTCACATCGACATCTGACTTGTGTGCCCACCTCAAAATGCATGTATTTTATGCCAAATCCAGCTTGTTTTGTCGTGGGGTATGATGAAGAGCACGGAAGTCGGAGGACGGAGCAGCAGGCAAGGGGATCTGCACGGTCAGACCGCCGTTGCCTGCACGTTTTGCCCTTGTTTGGGAGCGTAGGCAGGCACAGGCGTATCTTGTCCCGCCCTCTGTCGCTCGCCTCAGCGCAGCTGCCGCCTGCTGCTGCCTGGTTTATCTCTTTGGGAGCGTATGGCGCATGCTTCCCAGCTGACGAGGAGTGAAGTCCGTTGGGCAGAGTAAAAAAACTGCTAGTTTTATCCTGGACCGGTCCTGTACAGCGTGCATCATGGATGATAATGCGGTGGCATGAGACCTGATGAATAATTGTTGAGATTGGGGGGGGGGGGGGGGGACATAATGGTCAGGGTTAGAGCTTATGATCAATGATAGCGCCCTCCAAACCTACACGTCCCAGTTCAGTCATTCATCCTGCTAGCCCCGATCGCCTAGCTGGTCTCTATAGATAGCACATCCAACTCGGTCATTCTCACAAAGGTCACAATCTCACTCTCTCCTATTCAATGCAACTAGGCATGGCGCTGGCCGCTGGCAGAGTTGTAGGGTGCGGTCGTTTTGAGCTTATAGGATTAGATTCTCCTCGTTTTTTATTAGCACGCTTTTTAAACTGCTAAACGGTATATTTCATAAGAAAACTTTCTATAAGAAAGTTGTTAAAAAAATCCTACAAATTTATTCATAAAAATATTATATATTAATACTTAATTAATCAAATGCTAATCACATTTCTCGTTTTAAGTGCGGCTAAACGTTCCACCGCCACAGCTGACACGATCGTCCCCGTAGAGTGGCAGCACCACGCTGCGGTGCGTGCTGGGGGTTGCTGGTGAAGTGCTGATTACTGCGTACCAGGCCACCCTGTTGCTGTCGCCGGATCGCCTTTTGCCCTCCCGTACTTCGTGCCAACACAAAAGCGCGATACATAGCCCACGTTGCGCTCCCTTTTCCCTCCCTCCCTTTCCGCCTTCGTCGCCCTCCTCCCTGGCTAGGCTTCCTTGCTTCATCTCCACTCGCCCACCGGAGAATTCCTTCCTCTCTCTCGTCGCGCCCATTGTTTGCTTTGCTCACATATGATCTGAGTCGCGGAAGACTCAGTCGGTGGCAAGGATACGGGGATGGCGGGCGGTGGCAGGTGCAGCTCGCTGCTCCGTGGCTTCGTGTCACTCTTCTTCCTCCTGTTCATCCACATTGGCCATGCCGGTTGCTGCTTCTCGACGGGATCTTCCACGCAGACGCTGGAGGAAGATGACACTGGACATGGGGCCGACGGGAGGGGCGGCGGTGGCGGCGGCAGCAAGAGGAGGAAGATATCGCCGCTCGCGTTCTCCCCGTCGGTGTCGTCTTCTACGGTGGCTGACGAGAGGTCCAGAGCCAGGCGGAGGCAGGTGTCGTCTCTAGCCACCAGCGTCCGCTTCTACCTCCACCGCATCTTCTCCTACTCGTCCGGAGCCAAGAACGGCGCTGGCGCTCCAGCCGCGGAGGAGGAAGACGAGGCGGTGACGACGACCGTGTCGTCGCCGCTCGCGCAGTCGTCGTCGTGCCTGCCTCAGCGCCAGGCCTCGTCGTCGGTGGTGCTGTCCACGCCGTCGTCGCCATGCGCGTCGCCGTTCCTGTCCCCGCTCTCGCCGCAGTCTCTCAGCATTACTCCTGCGGTGCCGTCGTCGCCGCACAACAGGCAGATCCCTCAGGCGACCACCAGGCAGTCGTCGTTCAGGTCGTTCGCCGCCCGCGGCGACGTGTTCCCGTGCAAGGTGTGCGGCGAGGTGCTGAGCAAGCCGCAGCAGCTGGAGCTCCACCAGGCGATGAAGCACTCCCTCTCCGAGCTCTCCAGCCTCGACTCCAGCATGAACATCATCCGCATGATCTTCCTCGCCGGGTGGAAGCCGGCCGTTATGCCCGGCGCCGGCGAGCCACCGTCGGTGCGGCGCATCCTCAGGATCCACCACAACCCCCGCGTGCTCACCCGCTTCGAGGAGTACCGCGACCTCGTCCGCGCCCGCGCCGCCCGCCGATGCGCGGGCGCCGGCGCGGCGGCGGTGGAGGAGCGGTGCGTCGCGGACGGCAACGAGCGGCTGCGGTTCTACTGCTCCACCATGCTCTGCACCCTGGGCGCGGGCGTGTGCGGGAGCCCCTACTGCTGCACCTGCAGCATCCTGCGCCACGGGTTCGCCGGGAAGCAGGCCGACGTGGACGGCATCGCCACCTACTCCTCCGGCCGGGCCGCGCACGCCTCTCTCCCCGACGACGTGGAGCGCGAGTTCGCGTTCCTCCAGGTGCGCCGCGCCATGCTGGTGTGCCGCGTCGTGGCCGGGCGCGTCGGCCGCGGCGCCGCGGACGACAAGGTGGCCTACGACTCCATGGTTCCACTACTGCCAACCTCCTCCTTCGCTGCAGCTACCCGTGGCGACGACGACGTCGAGCTGCTCGTGTTCAACCCCCGTGCCGTGCTCCCATGCTTCGTCATCATCTACAGTTGCTAGTTGCGGCAGCGGCACGAGGCGGCCAGCCTGCATGTCGTACTAGTGTATAGCCCTTCTTTTTCCCTCGTTAGGTACGTTGGGCTGTGGTCACGGCGGCGCGTACAGTGAGATCTCGTTCTCGGTTCAATTATAGCGGCAAAATGCATGGCTCGCTGCTCGTTGATCTGTCCGACCGGTTGGGTTCTGGCCTTCTGGTCCTTTTGGCTACATCAAGCTATGAGTGTACTCGATCGGCAATGCATGGAGCTGGGTGCCACTGCACATTGCCTGCCTCTGGCTGGATCGGATCGAGCACTCGACACATCATCCAGCACAGTGATGGTCTCACTGACGTTGAGTATTGTCGAGTGGGTTCTACCACACGCTGCACAATGGTCGTAAGTTATGTAGCTTGGTTGCCATGTTCTTATGTACCTGCTACTACTGTTGTTGTTGGTCCTGCGTCAACTATCGACTGATGAATATGGTTCAATGGTACATTGATCTTTTTGTAGTTTTGCTCTGCTCTGTCGATTGGCATGTGTAATTGAGCTCTGTTTTTAATTCTCGTGGGCTTCGAACCTACCGCGCTCGGGCAGTTGGGCCTTACTTTAGTGGGCCTACGTAGACTTGTTCAGCCTTTATACGTCATGGGCCGCAATGAGCATTGATTTGGGCTTGATTATCCAGATGAATTTCTGAGCCTGTTTGGTAGAGCTCCAACTTCTAAATTTAGCTTCTGGAGTTAAGTCTGGAGTGGAGTTGTAGAGCTGCCTAAACCCAATTCCATCTCTCTAGTTCATTATGTGAGAGAGCTCCACCCAACTCCACTCCCATTTTAGATGGAGCTGAAATTGTTTGGCTGAGCTCCAGCTCCAGGAGAGGTGGAGCTGGAGCTAGAGCTATGCCAAACAGGTCCTTTTCTGTTGAATGAAAGAAAACCAAACTCTCCTAATTTCCATGTAATAGAAATGATATTATATACTCCCTCCACTTTTTAATAGATGACGCCATTGACTTTTTCTCACATGTTTGACCATTCGTCTTATTCAAAAATTTTATGCAAATGTATAAGATATAAATCACACTTAAAGTACTATGAGTGATAAAACAACTCATAACAAAATAAATTATAATTACGTAAATTTTTTGAATAAAACGAATGGTCAAACATGTGAGAAAAAGTCAACGGCGTCATCTATTAAAAAACGGAGGTAGTAGGTCTTAACAAAAATAACAAGAAAGCTAAAAAAACGCCTCCCCCACTTCCTTTCCCTCGTGTGATCATCTATTTTTTTCCCAGTATGTTTTAGGTACCTCTGGGTTTACTGGGGATAGAGATTCATGTTAGGCACTACTGTAGGAGGGAGTGAGGGTTGTACCTCCTATTCGATCCAAATGTAACTTCGGGCATTTTTTTAACCAGAGGTAAATACTTCTCGAGTTCTAACCAGACAACTAGAAGAGGATCAAGCTGTTTGGAGGGAACAACGTGCAAACTAGGCAAGTAGTGTTCGAGTTGAGTGTTCAGGAAGATACAATTCGAGCATACTACATGAGATGAGTGGTACATGAAGAATGATGAAGGAGCTTTGTAGATACGCCACCAGACGAGAATATTATCACAGAAGATAACAAGGGGACCGCTCCAACCACTCCCGCAAGCTAGTACCTGCAACAAGCCCTAAGGACCGCCTAAATATACAAATATGCCCTTAGGGTTCCAAGCTTTTTGAGGACATTCCTGTAACTTCACACGTACCTCTTGAGGTTGTATAAGCCAGTCTAATCCTATAACGAGGCCATGTAACATTTGGGAAAAAGCAGTGGCAACAAGAGCTCGTTAATACATCTCAAGTTCACTTCACCTCAAGGATAGGCATGAAAAGAAGTATCTTTCCTGTTTATTCCCAATTTGTCCGTGACGCTGAGTCACAAAAGTACTAAACAACCCTAAAGCCAACATGAGCCAAAACGCTACTCTAATTGTTTTGCAACATCTCAAACATTGGGTTACATCTCCAGGAAAAGAGTTCATATAGTCTCTGGGCAACCACAATGTGAACATAAGGGTTGGTTTTAAGCCTCTAAAGTGAACTTTATACATTGTGAGTGTAATCCTTATAGGTGGCATTTGCTTGAGCTAGCCATATGCATAAAGACTACCCACAAGGAATAAAAAAAATATAGTACTTCTTCCTCTCTCATGGTAGTGTTACTCTCTCTCCCTCTCTCAATAGCTAATTTTGGGTTTGTGGGATCCACCTTAATATCCACTCTTGACATATACATTGTGGACATGATAATATGTTTCAGTGGGTCCCACCATAATACTAAGGTAATCTATATACATTGAGCATGCCCTAGAGAGCCAAGGCAACAAGGAGTTTTGAAGGACAACCCAAACAGCTTCATTGCAATCTTCTTGGTTTGAAGCTCCATCCATGTTCCCCATAGGCTTCACTTGCAACTTACCTCAGCAACCTTGCTCCCTCATGTAGACCTCAGCAACTTACCTCTCTTTGATTTAAGGTGTTGAGCGGATTACTATCGCAGATTAGCTAGTTGATCGTAAGAATAAATTAAATATTTGAAAAAAAATAAATTTAAAAGTTTTAAACATGAGGCGTAAGTAGTAGAATATTTTTTTTTAGAAAACATAAATTTTAATGGTGGACCAAATAGTACATTTCAATGATGGGGTGAATTAGCTGAAAAAGACGTGACAAAATCCTTTTCTTTATAGCATGATTGATGGATAGCCTTTCCATCCGTGAAGAAAACGAGCAAACAATATAACTCTCTGTTTCCTTCCTTTTTGTTTATATCCGGATCAATCTGAGCAGTTTAGATTTGTTGATATTGACATTTTTCATGTCCCCTTGATGTATGAAACTGACCCGTGATTTATTGAGTTTTTTCAGTAACACTGCTGCTAATGGGATGGGTCTAAGTGAACAACCCCTGAACGGCAAAATAATAAAAGAGACGCCGGTTCAAAGTGGCCACCGGACAGGTAGTCAAGTACCGGGCTCGATCAGAGAACATCACGTCGTCCTAATTTGTGTTAGTTAGTACTCGTGTACAAGGAAGATCCAAACTTTATTTATTGATCTGGGGGAGAATCCAGTTGAGAACTTCAAATGGTTTTTGCGTGGACGAGTCTGCGTTGTTCAGCACCGTCTCGAGACCGTTGTCGCCGGCTGACGCTGACCGTTGGCCCGGCCGTCGGTTGACTGTTCTCGGTCGATGGTCTCCGTCACCGAGCCACCACCGTATTCCATTTCCAACACACAAAAACCTAAAAGCGCGAAGACTTCGGTGTCGCCGAGGACGGACGGAGGGAGCGGCACGCCGGCATGTTGCGCCATCGCACCTCCCCTCGTCGTGCAAACCATGCCCCCACATGCGCCATGGCCACATCTGCCATCGCTTTCTTCCCCGTCATCGTCTTGTTTATCTCGCGGAGAGAAAGAGACCGAGAGCGCGGGTGGCGCACAACGAAACGGACACGCGCGGGACGGGAGAGAGAGGTGGGAGACCCACCTACCGTTGCCGTCGCCGTGGTGCCGCGGGCGCGGGCGCGCGAGTACGCTTCCGCGCAGCTTCGCGCACGGTGGCACGGTCACAGGCGAGGCGACGGCGACGAGACGGTGCGCACGACTGTTTCGCTCGTCCACCCTACAGCTACAGGCTACAGCGGTGCACAGTGCACTATGGTGCGTTGTACTATGCGTGAGCAACGTGCGATGCACCGGCAAATTCAGGCGTGAGCGTGAGTGGTCCGGTCCGGTCTGTCCGGCTCCGCGGGCCGAGCCCATCGCCGTCCCCGCGCGACCGACGCGAGCGACAGACTCCGCCAATTCACCGGCGCTGTGGTTTGATTTGAAGTTGAATGGACTTGTTTACTCGGGAGTGGTTGGTGGAATGGTGGGGGCACGTGGGTATTCTGCGTTGCTGTGGTACCATCGTTTTTGCTAAATTTCGATTGAACTTTTCATAATCGGTTTTACGATTTTAAATTTAAAATCCTTACAAGCATCTAAAATTTCAGTCGGGATCTGTTTTTTTCCTGTGTTGATCGAAACAATCGTTAACCTGGTCTCGTCCGGGCCGGTATGCTGATTTGTTCCACGTCTCTAACGAGGCAAATCACATCAGATTTTGCCCACGATTTAGAGACTATTGATGGCAACTGCTACATCATCCGTTCTAAAACAAGTTTATTTTTTACTCATCCTGCAACATACCAATACAAACTTTTAAAAAAATACCTTCACTTTATCAAATCTTAATGTAATTATTCCCTATTTTTATCTATTTTTAACACATTCATCCCGTATTTTCATAAACTCTGATACGATAATTACTTAAAAATAAACTTATTTTGGGACAAACGTGAGGAAATAAAAAATAAACTTATTCTAGATGAAGAGAACATTACTACTCACTCCGTTTCAGGTTATAAGACTTTCTAGCATTGCCCACATTTAAATAGATATTAATGAATCAGACATATATGTATGTATAGATTCATTAATATTTATATGAATATGAACAATGCTAAAAAGTTTTATAATATGAAACGGAGGAAGTAGTAACTAGTGAGAGCATGGTTGTTTCTTATCCCCTCTTTTATTTTTTGGGTTAATTGGATCCATGTCATAACAAATTTGCAACTCTTAAAAAATATCATTACCATTCACCTATTTGGTCCCATGACATTACAACTTTACATCTATTTGAGATATACCACTACTTACCACTACTTACTACTTACCCTCTTCCTCTCCCCTGTCTACTCATTCCGGCAGTGGTGCATGGCGAGGTCTGGGTCGGCGGTTCCCCTCTCTTCCTCTCCATCCCCTCTCACTTCGGGCAGAGTAAAATCGGCGACCTCGATACCGCCATTGACATCCTACGTTTGTGTTCCTCGTCACTCCACTATCGAATCCACCTCCATCATTGACAAGCACGCTGGCCATGCCTAGGTGGCTCGCCAACCTACACTTGCTTGACGACGACAGAGTCTCTAAGTGGCGCCTGAATTCAAGATGAGGTTCCGTTCGGCTTGAGGGGAACAATAAGGTGGCCAAACGAGGTTGACCTCGAATTATTCCCTTTCCCTGATACACACGCTAGAGGAGGAGATGGGTTGGTAGAGGGGAGGGAACGCGCGACGGTGGCGAGGGGATAGGGAGAGATGGCCGCCGGAGAGGTGGAGGTGGATCGGTGACCATCGTGGTTAGGCTCATTTCATTGAAAATGAGTGAGTGGAGAGGGGAAGGGAGAAGGGTAAGCTGATCAAAATTTTTAATGAATCCACCAGATAGATATATAAAATAGTAATATATCAAAAATAATTGTAAAATTCAAATAGGAATAGTAAATAACAATGATATATTTTAAAATAGGTAAGTTTATAAGGGGAAATATGTAGTGGAAACTTAAAAAATACAATACAGTTGGATCGAAAAATGGACGTCCGACATTTATCCACGTCATCACGATTTACTCATGAGTACTTATGATGATGTGAACAAATCTCGTACATTTTATTTTTT